CTGCAAAAACGGCTACTGTTCGGCAGGAAGGGCAGGTGGGGAATGATGAGAAAACCCAAAAGAATGCAGCCAGAGCTAGCCCAGACGCTGATGTCACGCCAGCCCTTTTGGGGAGACTCGGTGTGTGTGTGTAGGGGGGTGATTCACAACTGAAAGTCATGACAAAAATAGGACAGAGAGGTTGCTATTGTAGGCATTTATTGTCTACGGGAAATGGCCTTTGTTAAGGATGTACGATCTCTGTGTTGTATTCGGTCAGAAGCGGAAGCAAAGCCTGCCGTTCTCCCACGCTTGTAGAGAACTGGATGTGATGGCCAGCAAGTTAACACCAACATCTTGACGTTTGAGTGAGGACTGTGAACAGCCCCAGCTCATGGCCCCTCTGAGGCCCAGGAGAAACAACCCCTGGCTGCTGGAGGATGGCCTGCGACAAGGAGGCGCCAGTACCAGCCACGTTTCATGTGCATGGGGATCTCTGTGTGACAGCCAGCGGCCAGCTGCAGGAGCAGGGGCAGGACACCACCTGGGCAGGACAGGGAAGAGCTCACACCAACCCCGGTGAGGGGCGCCCCAAGGGGGCAGGCCAGGGCAGAGCCCAAGTGCACCGAGGAGCCCTTGGCGACTACAGACCCCTGCCCATCAAAGCTCCATGACAGGTGATGGAGGAGGGGCTCCCACTGCCTGCAAAGGGGCCTAAAGGGACCTCTGGGAAGGACGGCAGGGCAGAGCACGTGCCCAGTCGTGTATGATCTCACACTGACCATGCAGATACCCGTCTGGAGTTCTGCTCCCCAAATACATTCTCTTTCTGACGAGGGAAGGGAAGAAAAGTGCCAGGCTCAGAGGGGCTAAGTAGCTTGCTCAAGGACACACAGCCAGCAGAGGTGCTGAAGTATAAACCATGCTAATGGTCTAATTCTAGGCCTTCATGCTGCCTCTCGGGGGGGCCTATTCCCCTCACCCAAGGAGAATGGAAGCTAAGAAAAGGCAGGTTGCTAACACCTGCTGAGTGCTTTATGGTGATCAGGATATGTTAACAAATGCCATCTTCCTGTGAGGACAGACACTGTACCCTCCTGAGGTCCAGAGTGGGAGAAATTTTTCCTCTCTTCCTCTCACACTCATTTAAGTCTATCAGCAAACTGAGTCAAAACTACTGTCCGGTCAACCAGAATCCCGCCACGTCTCACCATCTCCATGGCCACCCGAGTCCAAGCCACCAGCATCCTGTCTTGCCTGGACTATTGAAATAGCTTTCCCACTGGTCGGCCTGGTCCCGCCTGCATCCCACTAGAGTCTGTTCTCAACACAGCAGCCAGTGACCCTGTTCAAAGTGTGAATCGGAGCGCCTGGGCCTCTGCTGCAGCCCCGCGCCTCCCCCTCACTTGGCGTGAAGGCCTAAGCCCCATTCTGCGTGCAGCTCTGCCTCTCTCGCCCTCGCCGCTCTGTTCAGCGGGGCCTGCTTGCAGTCAGCTCCTTTCCAGCCCGCAGGGGCCTGTGCACTGGCTGTGCCCTCTGTCTGGGAGGCTCGTCCCCAGACACCACATGGCTCCTCCCCCCCTCCAGTGTCTGCTCAGAAAACCTGCCCCACTGGCACCCCCACTGGCACCCCCTCGGGCCCTTACCCTGCTTCATTTGTTTCTCTGCACTTTTCACTGCCATATGCTACACATAGTATAAAAATGGATCTTTTTGTACATATAGTCTTATCTCCCTCACTGGAACGTGTGCTCCTGAGGACAGGGGTCTGTCCCTTCCATTCACTGCTGTGTCCCCAGTGTCAGCAATACCTCACAAGTGCTTAATATGCAAAAACTGGCTGCAGTCAGCAATCGGGCAGTAGGCAGGTTCGTTTCCGGGTGCAATAGCTCTGGCCCAGGGGATCAGAGTGCAGCACTACGTTCTCCTCAGCAGAGCCCAGCCAGGACAGGTTTCTGAGCCCGTCTCCCTGTGTCTTCTCCCCTCTCTCTGTACCCTCCTCACCTCTAGCATACCTGCCTTCCATCCCTACTCACCTTGTCTGGGAAATATCTTTCAGGGCTTCTCACCCTGAGGTGGACTCTGGACCTCAGACCTTGGGTAAAGGGCAGCTGAGTACTGGCCGGAGTGCAGAAGGATGTCAGAGCCCCTCCCTGACCCCGCCAGCGGGCAGCCCGGCTAGGGCTGGGAGCCAGGGGACATGTGAACTTACTCCTCAGGAGCCAGCCCTGAGGGAGGGACCCGGACGCACAGACAGGAAGGCACACTCCACGTGCCCAGACACATTCAGCAGCTAGAGAAGGGAACCGTTTGAACACATCAGCCACATCAAAGGGATCGCCCCTGAGAACTGGCAAGCGCAAACACCCGCTTTCGCTCTCCAGCGAAAAGCTGGCNTGCTCACTTGCTAGAACCTCCCCGGTCCTCCTTTATCCTCCACCCCAGGTCAGCCCGGCCTCCCCATCCTGCTGTGCTGTGGGGCTCTGGGAGCCCCACCCCACCCCCTAGCCTGCAGGGGCAGTAAAGAGGGGTTTTAACTAGCTCCTGAGGATAAGTCCCTAGGATGGGAGAACACTCATGCACGCACACTCCACAGGATTGCTGCCCCTCTCATCAGCGTTCCCTCAGGCCACGTGCCTCCTCCAGTAACTTCCCTCCCTGAAAGCTGCAGCAACACTCATTATAACCCAACTCTGAAGCCTGTGTGTATGTGTGTGTGTGTGTGTGTTAACCACACCTGTACCCAGCCACATTCTAAAACAGCCCTGAGCCTCTCACTTCACCCCCCTCATTGCACCTATTCAAGGCCCCGCAGCCCCATTCTGTCTCCTGCTCATGAATGCACTTTGCCCAGGGCCCCTCTCCCAGCCCAAGCACCGTCTCTGGAGGCTTCTGCGTCCACGCTAGCTGTCACCCCAACCCTGGGTGCCTCCTCAGCCTTCTCCTCTGGCATGCCCAACTCAGCCCACTGCTGTACCTCTGTCCTCCCTCTTCCTCCCCCACCCCAGGCCCCTGCCCATGATTAGCGAAGGTCAAGTGAGCGTCCAACCCAAAATATAACAACTCAGGATGGGAGAAGCTTTGGCTTTGCTTTTTAATAATTTAAGACTGACACACAGCCATCCACGCGCAGAGAGTCCTAACCCTTTGCGCAGTGTTCAGACCTAGACAGGGGAAGTGGCCAGGTGGGACAGCACATCCTCCTGGCCTGTGCCATGCCATCTCCCTGCTGGCCAGCCCACCCACAGCTTGTGGCTGGGGACAGCCTGGCACGAGCTACAGCCCTGTGTCCAAGCTCGACAGAGGAGGCAGAGAGGCCTTCACAGCCAGGCTCCAGTAGCTTTAGCCTCGCGCTGGGTAGAGACAGAGGGCAAGGCAATGGGGCCGGGGCTAGGCTGGCAAGTCTCACTGGCTGCAGCCGCATTTCCCTGAAATTGGTCTCTGCTTCACTTTTTACTTCAACCTTATATATCACAAAAATTCTTAATATTCTGGCTACCAGATAACATCTCTCAGATGTCCTCACAACAGGCCACGTGTTCCAATTCTTGGTTTGGAACAGGTGATCAATGGCTGTAAGGCTGTTACTCCAGGACACTTTGCCCATTTCTGGAAAAAAAGCAAAGGTGTCAAAGGCGAGCTGGGAGAAATAAGACTGAAAAAGGCAGGTTCCAGGCCAGTACGGCCCAGCACTTTCTTTGGTTCTGGCGTGCGGAAGGCTGCTGGAGCCCTTGATACGGAGTGAGATGGGACCTGGGGGTGAGGCGACTGATGCTCAGGGACCAAGAGAAGGATCTGCAGAATCTTGCCTCCCCCTGCCAGCAAAGGTGCAGGAAGCTGTTGACACCACTTGGGGCTTGGACACCCACATTTTTGTTCCCTAGTTCTGCATAAATTAACATTCTTATACAAAATACACAAACAGGCTTCTTCCCTCTCCTTTGGGCGGTCCATCACAGAAGCCCAGCCACAGTCCAGGGCGTTCACGACGTGCCACCGTGCTCTTCCAAGCGGCTTTGTGCAGCGCTTTCCCAGTCATACTCCGCGGGGTGGTTCACGGCCAGAGCACCTCTGGCTCACCGTGGGCCAGGCCTCTGCCTCAGTACACGGAGTGACAAGCTCTCTGCGTGAGCCAGAAGCTCCTTCACATGAGCCAAGCCCAGCCCCGCCACCTTGGCTCCATTCACCTCGAGGACCTCGTCCCCCACCCCCAGCAGCCCCGAGTACAGCTTGGCCGTGCTCGTGTCAGCCATCTCCTGCACATAGAACCCTGCAAAGGAGAACGGGAGAATTTAACACATGAAATTAAAGACGGGCATGTCTGGCATGCTGACCAGGTGGGGCAGGTGTTCATACAGGGCACTTATACACACACACACACACACACACACACACACACCCTCATTGTTCCGCCTCACAACCAAAACTGGCTTTATATTATACATAGATATAGTGTGCCCACCTCCATGGTATAACTTCATTTCTCCGTCTCTCTTTTAAAATGCCCCGAATGCAAACAACACTTTTACCTGCTATTATTCATATATACCCCAGTGTGAATGAGCTAATCTTAGCTTTTGCTGAGATGAGTTTTGATTGCAGACTAGGGAGGAAAATAATGTTTAAAAACTAAGAAAAAGACTACAATGTGCCTGGTCCTATGCTCGGTGGCACTCACAAACAAGCTCCCTTGCTGTCCCCAAGTCGCCGTAGTGGGGGGAAGGTATCCCCGGAGTACTGAGGCCCAATCCAAACTTGTTTTGCTTCATGGTATTGTCTT